TGGTGAACCTTTTCTTTGTCGCGTTGGATGACAAGCGCTTTGCTTATCCCACACTTGCATCCATGGCACTTGCAAGCGGGGATTTTTCATGATCGCCGAGTTCGTCCCATATGGTTTTTAATTTTCCAAAGTACGTAACGATGGACTGACCGTTTTGCTTGCAATTTGCAAGTTCCTTCTTCAGTTGATGAAATCGAGGACCGTTTGCAACAGAGAAACGATCTTGGATATCCTTCCATAGTTCTGCTGCTTCTTCTACCTGTGTGATGGAGTTTCTCAGGCTGCCATCAATTGTGTTGTAAATCCATGAGACCAACATGGCATTCACAATCCACCATTCTTCATAGTTTTCATCTCCCTCTTCTGGACAAGGGATGGATCCGTCGATGAATCCAATTTTCCGTTTTGCACGGAATGCAATTCTCATTGCACGAGCCCATTCTTCATAATTATCACCGTTTAGTTTGACTTGGGTGATAATTAGTCCAGGTGTGTCTGCGTTCTTGAGTTCGTAAGAACTTCCCTTCGTAGGGATCTTCTCTTCCTCTTCGAAGAGCTTGCCAACGAGATTTTCTTCTACTTCTGCCATGTCGACGGTTGAGAAGGAAATTCCGGCGGTGATGGACCGTCGTTTGTCTAGATTAGGGTTTTCCTAGGAATCTTTGCTTTGATACCATGTAGAAAATAATAAGAGGGAAAATATTCTGTATATTCAATTGTTCTGTCTAGTTACAAGGGGTTTCTCCTTTATTTATAGGAGAGGATGATTCCAAAATAGACAAGGAATACAAATCCTACAAGGAAACAAATCATAATCAAACTAGGAAGCAAATAAATCAAGATCAATCCTAATTAGAATGGGATTCGGTCATCAAAGGATTCGGATTTCTCAAGTTCGGATTTCTCGGAATTCGGACCTCTCGGAATTCGGATCTCTCGGAATCCGGATTCCTCGGAAGTCGGACTTCTCCGGATCCGGACTTCTCCGGATCCGGACTTCTCAGTTCCAATAAATATTGATATCTCTTGGGTCTATCTGTGATAGTGAAGAAACAGAAACGGATTACCGTGATAAAACAGCAATTGACCGCATTGCAGAAACGGTTAGAAAAAATCTGTTCTCTGTTGTAATGCTCAAGGATGTGGATGAGGCTAATATGGTTGTGCGGGGGAATATAAAGTGCACAATGGTAAGAGGCAGGCTTGCTGTTTCTCATGGCTGCAAAATTAGTCTTGGCAACATTGTATTCATTCTTGCAGGAAACTGGTCTTCAATAAATCCAGACAATTTAAGAAATGAGAACTTGATGGATAACAAGAAGCTCTCGTTTCTGGAGTGGCAATTGGCTGCTGAGGCTAACCGTAGGTGAGAAGAGCACGAAGTGCATGTTGGTTGTTGAAGAAGCTAGACAGGCGAACAAAACTGAGAAGAGAACTGAGTTCAGGGCTCACCTCTGACCTCAACAAAGCAGCAGCGGATGCTGATGACCGACACCGTTGAATGACTTCAGCTCGAACCAGGTACAGATTTCAGCTTATATCTTTTAAGCACAGATATAAATATAGGAAACTTCTAGGGAGGTTAGGGAAAAAGAAATGTAATACTCCGTAGGAAACATGTATGGTGTTAGGGAAAGTGGATGTTGAATTGTTGATGCAAGATTGTCTTTCTAATCTCATTGCGGTGGATGTGTGGAAAGATGAGAATTGTTAAAATTCCAAAGGTTGGGCCGGGTGACCTAGGAAAAGTAAGGAAGAAATTAGACATGACCTAAGACGGTTGACCGTTACCGAGGATATGACCTTAAATAGATACTTTTGAATAAGTAGGGTTAGGATAGTTGGGAAGGTGTCTTGGATTGGGTGGTATTTTTTTTCTTTTCACTCTTTGTCGTGTGCTCTCTACTTGCTATGTTTTTCTCTCATTAATATTGGTTGTCTTGGCTTTTTGTGCTTGTGTTAGCTAGGTATTTTTTTCTATTAGTATGAGTTTGTGTTATCTGTGTTACATTACTAGTGCAGGGGGCCTCTTTGTAGTGGCTTGGGAGGACTCAAAATAACAGGGTACGGGGTAGCACTGGAATTTTTTATGACAACATAAAAGGAAAAAAATGTAATAAAAATTATTTTTAAAAAGAGTAATTATTCAAATAATTCCTAACTTCGTATTCTCTCCTCAAATTAAATTGTTTGTTTACATTTGCATTGTCAAACTTCATTCAATTTTCTTCTCTTTCTCGTTATTCATTTGATAAATTATATAATCTAAGTCACAACTAATTTTTTAGATTTTTATGTAATTTTTAAATATATGATTTTTATTTTTTTAGTTTTTCATCATTTTTCATATAAAATAATTTCAAATAACTTCAAACAAACATCTTAAACCAAAATAGATAATTTAAATTGAGATTGAGAGAGTAAAAAAGTACAATATTGCGAGGTGTATAAAACTTAATTTTCTTTTTCGGACTTCTTAAAGTGAAGAAAACTAGGGAGTACTTACCAATAAAGATTGAAGGATTAAACAATTAGATACTCTGTATGAAATTATCTTTTTTTAGGGAACCCCATGCAATTATCATTGAATAATTAAAACAACACGACTAAATTCATCAATTAAAAAAATAAATTAGACTTTACTGTATTAATTGTTTAAGATTTGAGGTATTAATGTATAATTTAAAAGTTTGAATAAAAAACCAGAGTAAAAAAATTAAATTAAAAGTTTAAATATAATTAAACTTTTAAAGTGTTAAACAAACATGTACAAAATAGTGGCAGAGACAACGAAGAGCCAAGAAACATTTGTCTTTTTTATTTAATTTTATATATATAAATTTTATTTTTCAATTCGACTAAATTTTCATATAAATTTGATTGAAAATAAATTTAGTAATATAGCGTAAATAGTACTTGGTCCGTCCTTGAGTTTTTGTCCACTTTTGACTTTTGGAACTGTTCATATAAGCACTTTGACACATCAAATTCTCTTAATGTGTAAACCTAAAAATAGTCATGTGTGATCTTGTTTGATTCGTTTTAACATATAGATTATTAATATATAATTTTTATAATTTTGTAATATACAAATTACAAGATAAAATGGATTAAAGAAGTGCATTGGATGGTGTGCAAAAATGAAAGTGGACAAACATTCAGGGACGGACCAAGTACTATATTACTGATTTTTTTTTAAAATTCATTTTTTAAATTTAAACCTTTTTTAAAAAAAAATAGGAAGAAGAAGGCAAGAGGCTAAAGCGAGTTGGGGCCGAAGAAGAAGAAAACGGATTGGAGCAGGAGGAAGAAGAATAAAAGGGAGGACCATGCTACACCTACACCAAAAACTATACCATATTTGTACACCGCAGTTATACACAAACATTTTGATGGTTTATTGGTTTATATTGACACAACTGTTGGTGCGTTAACAAAAATTTACACAGACACAAATGTTGGTGCGCTAACAAAAATTAGTTTTACACCAACACAAAATATTATTGGAAATCTGTGGTGTACAAGTAGGATACAAAAGCTTGAGGTACAAATAGCTTTATCCAAAAAGGAATTGTGGTGAGGCGGAGCCGCCGCAAAAACAGCCGTTTTCTCAGTGCGAGTTTGCGCCGCTCCTCAGGCGAGCATCGGGGCGTGCGGCGCGACTCTCCTCCTGCAATGGGAGTCAGGCGCGGCTCTGCTTTGGGAAGGGTACGGTGCGGCGTATAGTGTTTTTGTCCTAAACAACAATGTTTATAATTTCGATTTTTTTTAAATAAAATGTAAAATGAGGCCATTTATGTTTTCACAAGTTGAAAGTAGAGTTCAGTGGAGGAGAAGATTAGATTGCATCGCAAAGCGGTTGTGCCAATCGCTGGTGGGGCATATCCGTGTTCTTTTGTGGCGCACGACCGTAATTAGAAGCTCTTCGCTGTGGGGGCACTTGCCCCGGCAGGCCCACCTCTCTTCTCCCCTTAGTCTCTCGAAAACAACTTCAATAAATTCGAATTATGGTAGTTGGGATGTCACACATGGGAAACGTACGGGCCGTTGGCAATTGGCCTCAAGATCGGGGCAAAAAAACAAATCTTCATCTAGAAATACTTTGAGGCCCCGTTTGGTACATGGAATTCAAAGTATGAAATTGGAATTGAGGACTTCAATTTCAATTTTTGTGTTTGGTAGCAAAAAACTTGTGTGGATCTGGAATTGATAGTACAAAAAATGTATTGAAATTGCTGAATTCAATTCTATAGAATTGAATCTCATGGAATTTCAATTCCAATTCCTTCAATTCCATGTACCAAACGGACGCTGAATCAATATGGGTTTATATATGCCATAAAAATGAAAAAAGTAAAAAACCAAATAAGAGTTAGTTCGGTTTACGCTACTTGACCAAAGTAATTTTAAATTTAATCTATTTTAAAATTGTTTAGTATTGGAATAAAATGTAAAAAGTATATGGAGTATATTTGAAAAGATCATTAAAGAAATTATAATTTTAGAAAAAGATCATTAAAATATTTATAATCCAAAATCAATAACAAAATAGGTAAAAAGTGTATACAATTTGACCATGCTATATCTTCTTTTTTAGACATACAAAATATAATATAAAATGAGCTACGAATTTTTATCAAATTCTAATTTTAAACACAAGTTCTTGTGTGAATCAAAGTTCTAGAATCATTTTATGAATTTTAGTGTATTTGTAACATAAAAAAAAAGTCAGCGTTCTCTAAAAAAAATTTATATGTGAATCCGTTAAAAAATGTGAGAAGAACTACATTTTAAACGTGGATATCATATAAACATCAATCCTAACTAAAAAAAATCTCTCGTTGAATACTACTATACCTGCAAACAAGGAACAATAAATGTAAGATGATGATGGAGTACGTACGTCCCGTAATGGAAAGGGGTAGGAGAGAGTTAGTAGTTGTACGAGTAACTGATCACTGAAGTCAATTATCAGAACACTCAGCTCACGGATACAAGTTGAGAAATCCTTAATTAATTATTACTCTATCCGATCCGCCGTTATATATTTGAAATTAAAAATGCTTCATCCATGTATTGACATGCATCGATCGAACACAAAAAAATATTGAACTCCGTAGATCTTTAGTACTAAGAATCAGTATATTTGAATCAATGGAGGGGATAAGTAGTGGATTGAGATGGAGAGGGAGAGGAATACTAACAGGAAAAGGGCGCCGTGCGTTGGAGGAATACAAAGAAGAAGAGCCATTGAGTCCATCGGCTCGGATGTTTCACGAACCCAACTTCAACGTGCATGTCATTGCAGTTATGGGCTCCTTCTCCGCATTCAACCCTCAAGTTATCAAGGACAATTTGGTCCATACTCTTCTTAAGCACCCGCGCTTCACCAGTGTCCCGGTCAATATCTCTACTACATACTCTTTTCCTCCCATAATTAAGTTACTAGTTACTACACCTTTATTACAATACTTCTTTCGTCCCAAATTTTTTTTTATTTATACTCCCTCCGTCTCAAAAAGTTTGTTACGTTTAGAAAAAATTATGTCTCGTAAAGTCCGTTACATTTCTATTAAAAAACCACTTTTACCCCTTACTTTTTCATACCCTACCTATCACATCATACCTTTTTCTAATAATCTACCCATCACATCATACTTTTACCCATCACATCAAGAGTATTTTTGGTAAGACAATACCAAAATATCCCTTCCTTAATTTTTCAAAGAGTCAAACCGTCCCATTCTTTTTGGGACGGAGGGAGTATTTAGCATTTTTCGGTAGTTACACTTTAAGTATTACTTCCTGAGTGTTATATTTTTCTTTTCATTTGACTTTTTACGATTTATAATACAACATTTTGATTATTAATATATCTATTTATATACTCCCTCCGTCCCCAATTTGATTACAAATTGCGGGTTACGGAGTAAAATTTCCTACTTTTTGAAATCATTTTATTTACAAATTGGTATATCAATAAGTTATAAAAATTAAATATTAAAAAACTACGTCAAAAGTTCTACAAAATAAGAGGTGACAAGAATATTTTATTTTATCAAATACTTGATGAAATCGGGTAAACAAACAAAAGTTATCGAGAGGAGAGAGAAAAAAAAATTGTAATCAAATTGGGGACGGAGGGAGTATATATTTATACAACCATACATAATGAAATATGATATTTCAAAACTACATGTCAAACCGAATATATTGGCATGGAATTTATTAGAATTCAATATACTCCCTCCGTCCTATAATGTTCTTCCCACACACTTTTTACACGGTCAAACTTTAATCACTTTCTTTACCTATTTTCATTAGATATTTGATAAAATAATATAGTCTTGTCACCACTTGTTTTGTAAAACTTTTGATGTAGTTTTTAAATATAAAATTTTTATTTTTTAATTTTACACCTACACTCAAATAAATTGAATTGAAAATAAAGTCGGTCAAACTTCGTAAAATGAACCGGGAAGATCATTATAGGACGGAGAGAGTACTTTTTTTATGATTTGTAGTCAAAATTTTAAAAATTGGTCACCCAAATTCTTGGTGTAGGTAGTGGAGGAAGGAGGTAATATGAAATGGGTGGCGACAAAGGTGGACTTGGACCAACACGTTGTGGTGCCGGAACTGGGAGGTGGCAATTTCCTCCTCGGAGGATCCTCACCAGACAAATTTATGGAAGACTACATTTACAACCTCAGCAAAACGAGCCTCTCAAAAGCGAAACCGCTGTGGGATCTGCACCTCCTCAACCTCAAAACCTCCGACGCGGAGGCGGTGGCAATCCTGCGAGTACACCATTCCCTGGGCGACGGCACCTCGCTCATCTCCCTCCTCCTTGCGTGCACTCGCCAGACCGCCAATCCTCAGCTTCTTCCCACCGTTCCCACCACGAAGAGGAGGAGGCAGCCATCCGCGTTCTCAGGCGAGGCTTCTCCCAGATTCTGGACTACGTATGTTGTCCGGCTTCAGCATTTCGTATTGCTTCTGTGGCATACCTTAGTTGACGTCTTCATGTTTCTCGCCACTGCCGCCTTTCTCAAGGATAGTAATACCCCCATCAAGGCCGCTCCTGGTTCTCACTTTAATCCTAGACGGGTCGTTTTTCGGACCGTCAGTCTAGACGATTTCAAGCTTATTAAGAACGCCATGGATATGGTATGTTCCTATATGTTTATTTATTTCACTTTTAATTCCTCTAGTTTGACTTCCTCAAAAAGACGTTGGAGCAGACAATTAATTAAATAAAGATGTCACTATATTATATTTTATTATAAAAATAATTTTATTAGATTTAACATTTGGAAATTTTTTCATTATCGTTTTATTATATTAATAAAAGTTTTAATGTCATTCATTATTAGAACTCATTCAGTTCGAATCAAGTAAGTTAACTTTTTGCCTCCACTTATATCTATTTTAACACTACCCCATAGTTGAACATAACCATTAGAAAGTGCAAAATTATAGAGTAAATTCCATAAAAGGTCCCCAGTTATAGGTCGTTTTACATATTTAGTCCCTACATATCAAATATTATATTACTAATTTAGTCCCCAATTTTTATATTCATTTCCAGGAATGGTCCTTGTTAGCATTTCCGTTAATAACGTGGATAAAATTGTAAATTCCCACTTTTTTTCTCTCTTCAATTAAGCTTCCTACCTCCCCTCGCACTCTTTTCCCAAACCTGTCGATGAGTTTGAAGCTTTGAACCCAAAACTGAAATCATCACTCTTCTCATAATTTTTTGTCTAACTGGTGGAACCCAAATTCGAAACTAGTAACCTTCATGGATGAGTTTTAATGTTTATTTCTTTGCAATTTCTTGAGACTAACTGATAAAACTCATCTATAAAGCTTATTGGTTTTGATTTTAGATTCCACAAGGAAGACTAATAATTGAGAGAGGAATGATCATTTTAGTTTTGAGTTTAGAACTTCAAACTCAGCGACGAGTTTGAGAAATAGTACGAGAGGAGGGAGGAAGCTTAATTGAAGAGAGAGAAAAGTATGAATATACAATTTTATCCATGTTCTTAACAAAAACGTTAACAAAGGACCATTCGTAAAAAATGATACTCCCTCCGTCCAAGAATAATCTTCTTACTCTACCTTTTTTCCCGTCCAAAAAAAATCTTCTTATTCTACCTTTTCATCCCAATTCTTCCTAAACTACCCCTCTTGTTAAATCTCATTTTCTTTTTTGCTTTCTCTCCCCTTTTTCTCGGCCAAAGCCCCCATATCTCTATCTCACTTTCCCAACTCCCCTCTTCTTCTTCTCCTCCTCCCCTGCCGATTCTTCTTCTTCTTCACTTCTTTTTCTTTTTTTCTCATCCTCATCTTCTTTCTCCCCCCCCACCCCCTCTTCTTTTCATACGCCTTCTTTTCTTTCTCCCCCCTCTTCTTCTTCTTTTTCTTTTATATCTCTGCTAGATCTAAAAGGCTGAGGTGACAGTGGATGGACTACATGGCGATGATAGACTAAAAATCGATGGTGGGAGCTGAGTTGGTGGTGGATCTACGGTAGATCTGTGTTAGATCTGTGCTTAATCTTCTTCTCATCTTTCTCTCCCTTCTTTTTTCTCTTTCTCCTAGAGATGGTGATGGTGGTGGGTGGGGACGATTGTGTGACTGATGGTGATGAGGGGGCTATCGGCGGTCGGGGGTGGAGGCGG